TGTCCACTGACAGAAAGGGTCAAACAGACGTATGCTCACATCAGACACCGCTGATGCTGCTATGAAGAAGGCTGGCAGCAGCTATGACTGCTGTAACYAACAGCAGCGGCACCAGCAACGCAAGAGAGTTTTCCCAGGCAGATCTTAAGGTTAAAAAAAATAAAAAATTAAAATTAAAAAAAAAAGGATCCCCAGCATCTGGCCAACTTTCTTATTTCATTGTCACTTCATGAGAGAAGTGAACCTGTTTGGTGACCATCTCTTCAATATCTGCCTGCAAAAGCACTACCGTGCCCCTGGCTGACAGGATTTGAAAGCCAGGCATAGCAAAAGATCAACAAGGACAGAAAGAGAAGGGACAGAGAATTTAGTTCAAGACGAAAGGAGCCCAAGGAACAAGGCTATYGTGATTTTTATGCTCCTTCTCTATCCAGTTCCTTAAAATGGCCTTTGTGCCCAAAGGACACTAAGGACAACTATGGACATTTCTTGGTCCTTCAAAACTTTTGTATTACTTGAACACAAATTTCATCTTTCTCAGACACGATGGAGGTAAAACAGAACAACGGTGGATGTCACTCAGAAAGCAACCACTCTCCTTTCCCACCATCATTCCTGTCCAAACCTTTCAACTCTTTCCTTCTGTCAGCAGTCCTGCCCAACCATTTCTCTAACAGTAAATTTAAGTCAACTAAGGACACAATTTCTTATTAAACAGATGGTCTGTGACCTAAGAGATTTGCGGTTTTAGGAGCATCAGTACAGGCCAAAGACTGATCCACCAGAGCTCAGSACAGAGGCATATATTGGCAGTACTGGAAAGCACTGCACATGCCACATTTGTCTGCTCTTTGGCAGTGTTACAGACTGGTCTGCCAAAAACACTCCTGAAATTCTGCGGAGATTTTTTTCAACCAGAGGGAAAGAGAATGAGGGAGGGTCTCATCAGGCAACCATAACACACCTTTCTCTTGAGGAAGCAGCAGCCWCACCAGCCACTCCGAGATGATTGTATTTAAGGTCAAAAGGTCCCCACCAAGGCTTCAAAGCAGCATCTTTGTCCTCTCCAAGACACATAAAGGATGCCACTCCCATACTACCTACCACACCACCATAGCGTGGTTCAGGACTCCAACCTCACGACTGCAAGCACAGAAGCTAACTCAAGAGCAAGAGGAATGCTTTGAGCACACACCACTAGCCCAACAGCTGGTTACTGCTGGCTGCTCAGTACAAAATTGGCATTTGGTAGAGGGAAGACACGGACAGGAGATTAAAAGCCTTGTTACTTATGAAGAAATTTGGTTTCTCTTAGGCCTGGAGAAGTTGCAAAGCTCAGTGATTAACAAAGATTTCTTGGGCAACTTAATGACCCAACATATGGGATAATCTGTGCCCAGAAAGAAGAGTCATATCTGATTGTCAGACACTTTTTTTCCCCTCAAATCCTAGCTTTATTCTGGGCAAGGAGAAGAAAATAGAAGACAGAAAAAGAACATCTTAAATTCATGACTCAATGACTTTCAAGAAAAGAGGGCAAAAAAAAGATACCCCAAGTGCCTGTTTTGCCCAGACAGCAGCCCCACAGAAGCACATGAGGAAATTCTTTCCTAGACTGCAMGAAGTTAACTTGACAAGAACTTGAGAATACTCAGCAGGAAAAGTTGTGCTTCCCCTCAAACATAAAGCAAAACAAAAACTTGAATTTCAGAGTTAGAGGGAAAATACAGGAGAATATTGTAAGAATACTTAACAGCTTCCAAAGATGGCACAGGTTGAATTCCAGGGTTTTAAAGTCAAGTTCATTCTTGCTTATTTTATATCCTGTGTCACACCAGATTTGGCAGTTTATCTGAAATATAAACTTCTCAAGCGTAAGATTTTTGGTTTTTATTCCACTCTCTTTAAGTGCACTAAGATTTATGGCTTAAATGCTATACAACTTGCATTTCAATTTCTGAATGATTTTTATTTTTCAACAAAAAAAAATTCATAGGGAAGACAGAGGTAGAACATTAACCCTTTCTCAGGCTAGAACACACTTTTAGAAGTGCATTTCAATTTCTTAAGAAGACCATTTCAACAAATTACTCAGAAACACTGGTCCACTTGGTTTGCAATAATTTCCCCTTCTTCAAAATATCGAAATCCATAGAGTAACTTTCAGTTTACATTGTGTACAGTATTGGTGCTTCTAAGCTTTAACTACAGAGTCTGCTTTCACTATTTCTTCTCCCTGGAGCAAGAACAAGCTGATGCAACGCAAGCGTAATGCTGATTTGCTTACATCTGCCTATTGCCTAAGTAGAAGTCACATTATACTCAGAGTAACTTGCCATAATCAAACCAAACTAGTAAAGGGAAAAGACAAACAAATAACAGCAGCAGCAAGAACAAACACAAACCCCACAGTTCTGCTATGGGATTAACTAGTGGTAGAAAGTAAAAGCCTTCAACTTCATGGAAGTCCCCCAACTACAAGCAACTCATTCTTTCCATGAAGGTGAATGTCCAGGACCTTCTAGAATGTCAAGATGTTTTCTAGAAAACACAAAGATTTAAGGGCCTCTACTACCCTACAAAAAAAAAAAAAAAAAAAAAGTGCTTAATACACTTTCACAGCAGTTCACTTCAGAGAAAACTTGGCAACGTTGCAGACTTACCAAGGATTTTGACTGCTGACTGGTCAGACATTACAACATCATGTGAGTGGTAAAAAATCTAAAGGGAAGTTTAGTCAACTTTTTAAAATAGTTTTGAACTTCATACATCTATTAAGGAAGAAAAAAAAAAAAAATATCCAGAACACCATATCTTCCCCTATTTATTTTCTTCAGGAACACTGGAAAAATACTCATTAGCCCCTATGCTCCTGGTGCCTATTTTCCAAGATGAGCCATCCATCTAAGCGACGTCCTACCTGAAAGTAATTGCACCAGATGTTCCAGCAAAGGAACTGTCTTGGCAGAAAATAAYAGCAATAATAGCAATACAGCAATAAAGAGATTACATCTTGGGGGTCTCAGTATAATGATTTTGACACCAGTAAAATCAAAATCACTTTTTTGTTCTTCTACCATTAAAATGTAGTCCAACAGTGAAGAGCAGGAAGTGTGGAATTAATAGCATATTATTTCTCTTATGAGAAAGTGGAAGTAGGAACACCTGTCTAATCCTCTGTGGATACCTAATCATACTCATTTATCATCGCTATAGTTTCTACATTAATCTTTGCTGCTGTAAGAAACACATTCATAAGTACATGATGCTTCTCTAAWCACTCGGTTTCCCCACGCATGCTTTTCTGAGGAGGAAGAAAAGCATTTCCAAGGGCACCATGCAATGGTGCTCCAAACATCTCCATCACACTCCTTACGCACTGTTAATAATTTGTTGCAATAACAGTTTATATTAAGTCTGGTCATAACAGTGTCAAGAATTCACCTGAAGTAGCTTGTTTAAAGTGCCTGAAAAAAAAAAAAAAAGTAGTATTCAAGTGTGAATTATTTCACAGTTGTTAGCACATGTCCAGGCTTTATCACATTATACATTCAACTTAAGTTCCACCAAAACCGCAGCCACCTTTTAAACTGCAAACTGCAATAACTCTGGTACTTTGCTGTTCATCCCTTGCCCCTGACACTGGGGGCACGAAATTCCTGACCCAGGGACCAATTCCAGACTGGTTGTGCAGATCTTACACATCTCAAAGGCCAATCAATTAACGTTACTAATGCTCTGCAGGAAAGGCAGAAAGCCCTCAGTTCACCAAAGTTTCAGGCAGAAAAGCAACTTTCCCGCAGTATTTCGCTCATTTGTGGGCTAGCCCCGAGTTTCTCAGGTTCCTCTAGACCGAGGGTTTCCTCCCCGCGTGCAGCACCGCTCAAGCCGCCCGGGGGCTCCCGCTTGGGCCCCGGCGGCCGCTCTTCGCCCCGCTCCTTACCGGTTGCCAGAGGGCGGCTCATGGCAGCACAGAGCGAGGGGGCCGGGCAGGGCGACGAGCCGCGGGGCGCCCCGAGCAGCGCGGGCCCCTCGGGCGGCCTCACTGCCGCCGGCAGCGGGGACACGGGCTCCCCGCGAGACGCGGGCCCGGCTCCCCCGCGCCTCCCACACAGGACGCGGGGCTGGGCGGCGGCGGGAGGGGGGGGGC